ATAATGCAATTTATGCTAGGATTACTTATGTGTTATAAAATTTTGGTTGATGATAATTTTGGAGACCATTATTGGATCCATACACAAACACATACACATATATATTTTGTGGCCCAATTAAACTTGGCCCCAACCCATAATCCATGACCCAACCCTCCGACCCGGATATATGACCCGACCCGCATATATTTACCTAGAGTTGTTGTGGACAGTTTGATCAAGGGTTTTAACTCTGGCCGTCTGATCTGATCTAACCTACATATATATATACATAGAGAGAGAGCCGTCACAACTCTAACCCTCACTCTCTCTCTCTAAAACGCTCTCGCCTCTCTCTACTCTCGCCTCTCTCAAAACACTTCTCTCTTGGCGATATTCTGGCGATCTTCTCCGGCGATCTCCAACGAGCTTCTTTCTCCTGTTTTCTGTGGAGATTAGAGGTGCTATCATTCCCCCTGTCTCGATTCGAACCGCAAGGGGTTCGACATCGAGTTTAGCCTTCGGTTTGTGTGGTTCCTTTCTTTTTGGCCGCTGTTCTACCGTTGCTTTGTTTTTCCTTACTTGTGGGGGTTGTTTTCGGTCTAGCTTGTGGGTCTCGGGCCGGGTTGGTTGTGTATGTCGCATTGTATGTGTGTTTGTGTCGATTTTGTGCTTTAGTGGGTGAGATTGGGGGCTGAGCCTAAAAACCAAGCCCTAGTTTAAAATTTTCTTTGTTTTCGTTGATTTTTCTTTAATAAAATCAAGTTTATTCCGCATTTATTTCATAACAGTGTGGTTTTAAGTTGTGAAGTATCCTATGTATTTTTGTGCTTTAAAATGACGATGATCCGTTGGTGTATTTGAGAGAGGAGTAAAAAAGTGAATTAATATAACCAAGCAATTATTTTGTCATTCATGCCTTAGCGTTTTTACTTTGTGTTTGTGTGTTTTGCTTCCATAGTCTTGTGGTTGCAGTTGTGTGTGTTTGTGTCTCTACATTCGTTATTTTCATAGATTGTTTGAGGTCTGCATCCATTTGCAGATCGACGACTAGATTTTCCTCGAGAATGAGCAGTCAAAGCAGAGGTGTTGAATACTCTCCGGTTGAGCTTTACAATGCCAGTAGGGTCGATATTAAGAAATTCCAGTCTGTCTTTCGTCTTTAATTTACGTGATGCCGCCAGTCACAAGATAAAAGAATGTTTCGGGAGGATAGGATGATCCCAAACAGACTTGTAGAAAGGTCAGCTTTTGTGCTCTCTAAGAGTGTTATAAACTGCTGAAATATCAGATTTTTCCGAGGCCAAACCATCTTATCAGTGTTGTTCTGGTCTGATCCGAGTTTCCAACTGCTAAAGTAAGTTTATCTCTAATCTGGAGAATTGATTTTAAGAAGTAAGAATGCTGGTTCAATGGCTCCAAACTCCAGATGTTTTGGTTCCGAAGATATCTATTGTGCATCCATTTGATCCACAATGACTCCTTGTCCGGGAGGAGAGACCAAAAGTATTTGGCAGAAGAGCCATATTCCAGTCTGCCAGGAAACGAAGACCCCAACCACCGTGTTTTTTAGGCAAGCAAATATTCGACCAAGAAATCGGGGCAGCCTTATTTTGCCAAAGGAAAGCGCGGCAGATTTTCGTAATGTGGTGAAGAACCATTGGAGGCATAGGGAAAATGGAAAGCCAAAAGCAACAAGTGCCTTGGATCACCGTTCGGATAAGCTCAAGCCTTCCCGCGTAAGAAATGTTGCATCCACTCCACTGACCGATCTACCAACATCTTGTTCTTCGGTTTAATTGTAGCTCCTCCTCGATGTCGACTAAGTTTTTCAAGGACAAACAAACATGCAAGTGTGAGGAGATTGGAGTAGATCAGCCCACCAAAAAATCTGCACCATCATAGTAAAAGGAGGTTTTTCGTGATTTCATCATTAATTTTGTTTAAGTTGATTTATTTCCAGGCTGCTTTTCTTAGTGTAATGTGAATTCTTGCTGGCACTAGCATTGTAATACGGGATTAAATTACTATGGTAAATGTTAAAAATAAGTTTATTTTAGATTAGCTTACCCGTTGTTGTCTTAGTATATTACGATTCAGCTATACCTTTTTAGCTTCAGTTTTAGTCCTTAGCCGAGCTTAGCTATCTGTTTAATTTAGGTAGTTGTAGCCATAGTTGTTAGATAGTTAAAGCAATTAGTATACTGTTGTGTAACTTGGCTTGGTTAGTGAGTAATATTGTACGTTAATTATTCACAAGATTACACACAGCTTCTGTTCATATGGAATTGCCTACGAGGTGTTTACCTATGAAAAACTCACGAAACAAATTCCATGAGTCATTCAGTGAATAATCAATTTATTAACGGAATCTTCATTATTACTCACGAAAAAATTCCATGAGTAATTGTAGTAATTTTTTTTTTTTTTGTAGCGTACTAAAATAGAAAACAAATAGATTGATTTTGGATATATCAAATTGCAAAAAAATATATATTGATTTTGGACGGAGAAAGTATAATAATACTAATATTTATTAAGTTATTAAGTATCATAATTATGAACTAAAATTGAATTAATTGATTGCATAAGGGATCAAAATTGTAATAATAAAAAAAAGATTGAAATTGACGCAAGAATGAATATAAGGGAGCAAATGTCCTTTACCCTGTATAATTCATCAATATTTTTTTTTAAAATGCAAGAAGATACAAATTAAAATGTGGAGAATAAGAGTCTAAAATAATATGGAAAGAAAATAGAGTGGGAAAAAGATCAAGGTTGCATTTAATCATAGATTTTTGGAGATTTTTAAATTTTGGAAATGATAAAAATTTATTATTTGGTATGATATTTTGTGAAACAATATTATCTTGAACGTGTAATGTTGTTGGGCAATTAGTATTTTGCAAATTAAAGTGAAAAAGACCATCACTCAATACTCCATGTCCAATGACATTTGATTTGAAAATTAAACTAAAAACAAATTTTATGTAATTAAAGCAGTAGCCACATGAATTTAATTTTGAAACAGAAATCAAGTTTCTAGAAATACTAGGACCGTAGAAAGTCCTTTCCGAAGTTAAAAATGAAACTACTACTCAAAATTAGATTGCAAATCCCAATAGCTTCCACATGTGATGACATCTTGTTTCCAAAATAGACTTTCAACTCACTTCCCACTAGTTTCTGCCAGTTTTGCAATCCATGCAATGAATTCGTAACATGTATTATGATTAACATTAACCATATTTGATCCATACCATACAAATGAAAGTTGAGTACCTTTCTGTTAAACCACTTGAAGTATTTAGAACAGTTTTTCTTTATATGTCCTTTCTTTTAACAAAAAAAAATACGTGTTGGCTTTCTTGATGTCCTTTTGCGGATGAATTTTTTTCTTCCTTTTACACTTGGCTTAATGCTTCATGTTCTTTCCTTCGGCCACCACCGCCATGTTGACTTTCTCTCCCTCTTCCATAGCCAGATGTCTCTCCTCTTGAACACATATAGTCATCAATTCAGAAGTTGTTGTAGTGCTTAAATATTGTAAAGAGGATGGCGATAATAGTTTGAGCCGGCGTCAAAGCAGATGACCTTCTAGAATATTTTCAGTTATTTGATTTTGGAGGATTGTTATGTTACTTCAAGAAATCGAAAAACCACCATCTCCAATCGGCACTATTTTGATGTAGACATTTTCAATACTGTTTTGGATATGCAAATTCAAGAGTTTCGTAATCGATTTACTAAGGTTAGTACTGAGTTGCTTATTAATATGGCTGCTTTGAGTCCGCAAGATTCATTTTTATGTTTGATGCATCAAAGTTAGTAAAGTTAAGTACATTCTATCCATATAATTTTAATAATATGGAAAAAAATACATTGAAGCGTGAACTTGACATCTACTATGAGACTATACTTCAAAATGAAATATTTACTAACTTAGATAGTATCAGTAGCCTTGCTAGATTGATCATGCAAACAGTAAAGCAAGTTTCATATCCTCATGTCTTTCGATTATTGAAGTTAGCTTTGGTTTTACGAATCGCAACAGCAACAGTTGAAAGATATTTTTCTGCTATGAAACTTGTGAAGTCATATTTGCGCAATCGGATGAGTGATGATTTTTTAAATGATTCGTTGATTTGTGCTATTGAAAAGGAAGCACTTGTTAATGTTCCGAATGAAACCGTACTTAATTGCCTTCAAGGCATGAAAGAACGCCGAGAACAGTTGTAGAAGGTAAATCGTTCGTTATATATATATATATATTTTAATATAATCAAATATTTTAATTTAATTTATTTTAAAGTTTATATATTTTGCCACCGATGAATAATTTTTCTAAATCTGCCTTTGTGAGTATGCATGCTCATGAAGCAACTGCAAGGCCCACTGGAATTTAAATGTCATGGCCTGCCTACACGTATTTATGGTTGTGTCTAAAACCTCAAGAGTGTCTTTGTTTATATTTATTATTTTGGATGTTTTTTATAATACACAAAAAATTGTGCAAATATTATTGACAATAATATTCTAAACGGTCTTTATGTTACTTTCTTTTCTTTGTTAATTTACAAAAGAAAAAAGAAAAAACAATATAACTTTGCCGGGCAAAGTAAGTATTTTGTATATTTTTATTGACTTTTATTTTTATAAATATTTATTAAGTTTTTGTAATACTTTTTTAAAAATTATGCATGTAGGAATAAAATATTAAGTGAACACACTTATTATTTGTGTCATGCAAAGCATGCAATTTGATAGTAATAATATTTCATTGGTCCTATATAAAGTGTTCATTTTTGTCATTTATGTTTATTCTACATTATTCGATAATTTTTACTTTAATCACATTTTTAATTTCATGATTCATAATTTTTTTAGTTTTAATTAAATTATTTACATATTTTATATTATATAATAATTATTTTTACTAATACATTTATTCATTAATTATAATTTACCTAAACTTTTTGTGTGATCAATAACATAGTCTCTTTTACTAAAACGGAAGTAATAATAATAATAATAATAATAATAATAATACATAGAAGACCTCCATTATTATATACATATATATATATAATAAAGTAGATATGATCATTCATTGATATCCTCCAACAAATAATAATAATAATAATAATAATCTAGAGAAGCGAGTAGTGAGGGTTGTTGGTGAGCGTGAAGTTGTGAAGAATGGTGGCAGAGACATCGTAGAAGGCAACCTCAATGTGGAATAGGGTCGCATATACAGACATGAAACCTTGTCCGTCATGGTAAAACTTCAGTCCACCCCTTAACTCCGTCTCTATGTCAAAACCTCCCCTCCATGCCTTGGAACCCCCTCCACTCGTCAAATAATGGATTCCGCTGCACCATGCATATATATATATATATATATATAAATTCCAATATTATCAAGTTATTATCCTTCACATGCCCCAGTATTAATATTTTTTTATATCTATATACTACTAAAAAATAATATTCGCTGCATCTGTGATGTTTATGTTACTTTGTTTGTGCACAAGATTAAAAAATAATAATATTTTAATATAAATACAATGATGTAAAAGATAGAGTGTGAGTATTATAAGAAATTTATTAAAGAACTAATAAAATAAAATAAAATAAAATAAGAAAAATAATGTAATAAATAAAAAAATAATGACAAATTGGTAACTATGTGTTAAAATAGAAGTAATAAATTTTGTAAATGAATAAAGTTACTTTTAAAAACCAAAAAAAAAAAAAAAAGAAATCTAGAAAATTTATAGTGGACGAATGAAGTATATGAATAATCATATTGATCCCAGAGTAGAAAATTAGTTAAATAATTATTATGGTATTTCTTAATAATGTTTAAGTAGTTAGGATTTTTTTTTAGTTATCTAAGAGTACAATTACTATTTAAAAACAAAAACAAAAATAAAAAACAAACAAACAAAAATATAGACGGATTTCAGACAAATCTAACATGACATTGAATAAATTAATTCCGGATGCATAAATACATATTGTAGAATTAAGTATATACCTTTTGGTGTCCTTGATGTGCTCTAGGCAATGGTCATGTCCGTTTACGTAAAGATCAACATTGTTGGCCTGGGGAATTGACGATTAAATAAAATCAAAATTTCCACTCGAAACACAACAAACATTCGATAATACGATATGGCATGTTTAAGGAATGTATAGATGATTAATTGTTGATATTACTAATTATTACCTCGAGGATGGGAAGAAGTTGATCGATGAGCTCTTGTGTGTCGCCATGGTGACCTACACTCCGAATTGGATGATGCCCCACGAGGATCTTCCATTTTGCATTCGATTCTCTCAATGCTGAATCCAAATCCTGAACAACATGACATATCATCTTCTCCTTATACATTGTAATAAGTAATTAACACAATGTTTGTTAGCGAGTTTAGAGTTGTTGTTGGAAATTGGATTTTATTACTAAGGAATAAGATGTTTGGTTGTAAATTAAGTTTTAGTATAATTATATTTTAGTAAAAATTAGTTTATTAGAAATATTTTAAAATTATACTTCAAGGAAGTTTTTTCAAATTTCATTGGGTTGACGAAACTAAAGGGTATGTTTATCGGTTAATAAATTTTCTACTTACTTCCATATACTTAATATAAAAATTATGTATTTTAAACTACAAATAGCAAAAAGCAAACCCTTATAGATCAAGTGATAAGTCATTTTCCATTTGAAAGCTCTGACTAGGATTTGATTTCAGACGTGTTTGTGTTAAAAATGTATATGTATATATACATATATACTAAAAATACTAAAATTTCATATATAATGTATATATTTATCCATAATTAATATAAATTAGTTTATAAGAGATATAAAACTAAAACGCACATATATATATTTATTTATTTTGAGAAAAGAAAATATGATATTATAAGTTTGAATTAAGAAAAAAAAAAAAAAGAAAAAAAAAGAAGAGGATAATGTCTACATAGGTTCTGACTTATAACGAAACAGAGGGTATGTTTGTTTGGGGGATTTAATTAGATTTCTACTATTCATCCCATTTTTTCCTCCCAAAAACATCAAATCAAACACCTATTTTTTATTTTTTATATTATACTAGAAATCAATTTTACATTGAAAACATCACATCAACGCCTATTTATATCATGTCATACAACTATTCAAATTCAAAATTTTTACTATTCAAATTCCAACTAAAAATCCAAACCCCCAAACAAACACACCCTAAGTAATATGATCGTATAAAATGGAAGACTTTGTAAAAACAGTCCTACAAAAGAAATGATGGAGAGCGTCTTTATTGTTTCAAACTGACTTCAATATAAATATATATATATATATACATTATTTAAAATTACTTTTGGCGCCAGTTTCTTTCGCTGATTTTTTTCAGATGCATGTATTTATTTATTTGTTGGGTAAAGTTTGAGATCAGGTTCTGGTGTAAGAGAAGGATATCCATTCCATTGTCACTTCTATGGATAGGATTAGGATATCTATATGGACTATATCTATATCTATATATATATATATATTTTGCCGGAACTAACAGTAAAAGTTCGGAGGGACAAATCGATTTTCTTTTAATTCATTTAATATTGTTATTTTTTTTATTCATGCTACACCCTGACAAAAAAAAATAAAAAAATGAAAAAAAGTAAATGTCTTAGAAAAATTTCAACAAAATTATATAAAATTTAATATTTTTTTTAGTATAAAAAATAAAATTTAAAGAGTGAAAATATAAATCAAGAAACGAATAAAATTTTTGTGATTTTTTACACTACAAAATAGAAAAATTATGAGGAACAAATTACTATAAAATACATAATTTTATTATTTATTTACATAAAAAAAATACATATATTTTGAGGGTTGCAGAACCCCTACCCGTGTAGTTCCGCCCATATATATATATATATCAGAATGCTTCTACAACTTTCATTGCTGGTTGGCCATGGCATGGGCAACACGTTTATTTTAATACATGCATAATATTTCTCAATATATATATATATATATATATTATGTTCAATCATTGCTCTCTAGCTAAACTCTAACGCAAAACGAATGTATATATATATATATATATATAGATAATCAGACGCCATTGAATTGTTATAAAAAAATGATATACATAAGATAAGATTCAAAGTAAATTAACGCATAGTATTATTCTTTATGAATATAATAATGTACTTTGCCGACACGACGCACTGGAAATATACCTTATAACTAATAATGTGTAATTAAACAATCATTGATGCACCATTATCTCTCAAAATATATTTTCTTAAACTATTACTCCCTCCGCCCCACATAATTTATTCTTATTTTTTATTTTCGTCCGTCTCACATAATTTGTCATTTTTATTTTTGAAAATATAATTATGCACTTTAATCGCATTTTAAATTTTAAATTTTATAATTTTCTTAATTTTAATTAAACTATTTATGTATCTTAATCTTAATCTATAATTATTTTTACTAATACAGTTCTTAATTATTTATTAATTATACTTTACCTAAATTTCCGTGTCTACAGTAATACACCCATATTACATAGGACGGAGAGAGTATAAATATGTTTAACTTTAATGCCTGTGTTTGGTTGTAGACCTAATAGTTTATTTTTTATTTTTTTTTTAATTGAAATAATTTTTAATTGTGATGTTTTAAATTTTAATTAATTTCTAATATAAAATAAATTAAATATCTGATTTGATAGTTTTTAGAATAATTTTTATAAATAGAAAAAATCGAATCCAAAATCTACAAACACAACTGAAAGGATTTGGTTGGTATTTCAAATTTGTTTGGGTTTTGTCGTATTTTTTAGTTTTTAATTAGAAAAATAAGATGGGTCTGTTAGTATGCAATGATTCATGTGTTTGATGTAAAGATTTTTTCAAATTTTTTTTATTAATTTTCAATTGTTTTTTGGAAAAAATAAAATTAAATTAAACACATAGTATGTTTTATTTATTATAGTAGTATATTAGATTAAATTTTAAATTAAAAAAAGTTAAATTAAATATTTATATTATATTAAAATAATTATTTTAATTAAAAAATTTATTATTCAAAATTCAAATAATAATAATAATAATAATTCACCTTTTACTATTTTGAATTTTAAACGAGTTTCGAAATTTGAAAATTTTAATTTGAGGTGACCGAGACGTAATTTTCTTGTTTTGTGAAAACAGATTAATATATCTTTTTAAAAAATTTAATATATTAAATATATTTATTATTTTTATATCATCTGCATAATTTTTTTTTATATAAAAAAAATATTTTTTTTAAATTATTCCACAAAATAAGCAAACCCATGGTGTTTTGATGATTTTGCAAGTACTATAATAATAATGTATTGATTAAAGTTATTAGATAATACTTCCTCGATCCCATTTATCATATCCATATTTTCATATCTTAAGGGATGTATTTGTTTGGGAATTGAATTTTAAATATATTATTCATCCTATTTTTTTCCTAAAAAAAATATCAAATCAAAGATCTATTTTTATTTTTATATTATATTAAAAATCAATTTTACATTAAAAACATCAAATCAACACCTATTTATATAACATCGTGCAACTATTTAAATTCAAATTTTTTACTATTTAAATCTCAACTCAAAATATGAACTCCTAAACAAACACACCCTTATTTTGTCATTTTCCTTTCTTGGAACAAAATTATACACTTTAATCTTATTTTATATTTTTTAATTTATAACTTTTGAATTGTAATAAAAGTAATTAGTTATCTTAATCTTAATATATAATTATTTTTATTATATTATAATTATTTTCACTAATATATTTTTAATTATTTATTAATTATAATTTTTATAAATTTCTATTTCTACAATAAAGTGGACACCGGAGAGAGAGTATAAAATAAAAATAAAAATAATTTAATATATTAATAAAAATAAAAAATATATACATATATTTCAAAAAAAATCAATGAATATATAGTCAAATAAATTTGTTTGATTGTTGTTTGAAATTTTTGGAACGTAATGTTGATTATTATTTTTACTTAAATAGTATTTTGATATAATATATTGTGAGAAAATATAATACTCCATTTTTTTCATAAAGAGATTGTCATTTGTTTTTTTATGGGTAGATATTTGAATATTAATTATTGTATTAATACTTAGTACAAATAAAAAAAATAAAAAATAAAAATATTTATATTAGTATTATATAATACAAATATAATGAAATTTTTATAATTTATACAAATATAAAAATAGTAATATTAAATATAATAATACAAAAATAAAATAATAATATTTTTTATACGACAAAAGAAGTACGTTTTTTTATTAATAATAGTGTGAAATGAATAATATATTTTCATTTAATGTATAAAATTATTTAATAAAAATTAAGTAATAATTAAAATATTTATATATAATTCAAAACATATTACTTCCTTTGTTATAAAAATTTATTTTTATTTGTTTTTTTTATTGCCATTAAAATTTATTCTTGGATTTTTTTTAGAAAAAAATATTATTTTTTTTTTTTACTTTTTATTTACTCTAAAAAATTTATTTTTATTTTTATCTATTTTTTTTAAAACATGTGTCAGAAAAAACATTATTTTTTTTTTTACTTTTTATTACTCTAAAAAAATTATTTTTATTTTAAAACATGTGTCAGAAAAAAATATTATTTTTTTTTCACTTTTTATTTATTCTAAAAAATTTATTTTTATTTTTATTTATTTTTTTTAAAATATGTGTCAAATCAAATGTAATTTTTTTTTTTTTTACGACAGAAGAAGCATATAAAACTAAAAAACTAGTGAAGAGAAAAGAATAATGATAGAAGAGGCAGAGTTTGGTAGGCCATGAAATTATACAGAGAATTAGACAAGAGCATAATAATGGTGTCTAATTTTGTTTCCATATGAGACGACATATTTAACTAATAATAAAATTAAAATTCATGTTAAAATATTTTAAAACTATATCAATTATGATGAATTTTTAGCTTATTGAATAGTTTTAGCTGTTTGACCAGTCAAAAAAACTAATTTAGATATTTGGTAAATTAGTTTTTTGGAATAGTTTTTTGGACCCGAAAAACTAATTTATGAAAAGCTAACTTACCCAACGTTTTGAAATAGCTTTTTCTGTAAATTTTTTTTTATTCTTTATATGTCCTTAAAAATTTATTATGCATTTTACAGAAATAAATATATTTTGATTATTTATTCATTATATTAAAATATTTTATTATAATATAGTTTTACTTTTCTAAATTTAAAATAATTAATTTTTATATAAAAATTATTTTAATTGTAAAATATATAAATTTATTAAAATCAACATAAAATAGAAAATATAAATATTAGTAATTTATTTTTATATTAAAATTACATTATATAAATTTTATACTAAAAATAAATTAAATAAATTAAATTTATTGAAAATTATATATATAACGAACTAATCGATAACTAACATAATAAATATATACACGAAAAATTTATTATGTTATATTTTACATCATTTTCAATAGAAAAAAACTATTTATATATTTTAATAAAAATATATTATTTTTTAAAATCTAGTTGCAATAAAAATAAATACTTTTATAACACTTTTACAATTTTCAATAACTAATAACAAAAAATTTTAAACATTTTAAACTCAAAAGAACATAATTGAATATATTAAAAACAAAAATAAAATAGAAATGTCCTCAATTGTCATTTTATGTATAAACAACTAATATCAAACAGTTGTTTTACCAAACATTTTAATACAAACAGCCAATCGAATCAGCTAGTCAAACCAGCTAATTGAATCAGCTAACAACTATCAGCTAATTGTCAAACACGCCCAATGTATTAGTATAAAAATTTAAATTTTACACTCTCTCTATTCCTGTAAAAATATCTATATTATTATAGATATGTAAATTTAGATGAAATATAATTAGTGAATACCTAAGAAGTATATTAATAAAAATAATTATTATATAATACTAATAATTATAAATTAAAATTAAGATAATTAAATAATTTAATTAAAATCAAAATATTATGAATTATAAAATTTAAAAAGTGATTAATATATAATTATTTTTTAAAAAAAATAGAAAAAGATAAATTACGTGTGACGAAAAAAAAAATTAAAAATAGATATTTTATGTAGGACAAATGTAAGTATAAAACTCACATATTTATTTTATGAAAAATATGTTCAAAATTTTTGTTATGAAGATTAAAGAAACCTCGGGTGTGTTTGCTTAGTAAAATTGTTAAAATTTTTTTGAAAAATTGCTGAAAAATATACCCCAGCTTATTTCAATGTTGTTATTGGTTTTTTTTTTTTTTTTTCCTTTTTATTGAGTAAAATGGAAACTTATGTAGACTTAGTGAAGAAACAATAATGTAAAATGATAGAAAATGGTGAGTAGAAATTTTAAAACTAATTAATTTTTTTTTACTAAATACTCCCTCCGTCCCAGATACCGTGCCTGTTACATTGTAAATACGGTATTTTAGGAGGGGTGTAATTAATAGATAATTAATAATATATTAGTGAAAATAATTATCTTATAATATAAATAATTATAAATTAAGATTAAGATAACCAATTAGTTTAATTAAAATTAAAAAAATAAAATTTAAAAATTTAAAAAAATGAGATTAAAGTGTATAATCATTTTCCCAAAAAGGAAACTGATATGGTACATGGGACGGACATAAACGGCAACGTAAACATGATATCTGGGACGGAGGGAGTATGATAGAAACATATTTTTTTGAACACACCAAAATAGTAAATTGAGAATATTTTTTGTGGACAAATATTAAAGAATGCCTTCGTGTGTGATTATTGTGTATTCATTTATAAGGAATTTTATTTTTTTTAATATATCATGTATAAATATGTGTATTTATTGAAAAAAATATTGAAATATCAAATTATAAGTAATTTTTATTTTAAAAATAATAATAATAATAATAATAATAATAATAATAATAATAATAATAGTAGTAGTAGTAAGAAACATATAAGACAAATTAAAAATATATTGAGTGCAAAAAGCTTTTTTTAAGATGACACGCAAAAGAAAGCATAAAGTTGGTTAAAATATAGATTTGACAAACTAAACTAAGGTGTAATGACGGCAGTGGATCAACGTGGTTAATATCGATTCATCCATATTGGGTGTATCTATGCTGTGGATTATTATATTTTTTATATTAAATATAAAAAATAATATTGCTACTATTTAAAATATTATATGTATTATATTAATATATATAGATAATATATTATGCTATGTATTATGTCTTTAAAAAATTATTTTTAAGTGTTATTATTTTTAACATTAAAAATATATTTATATTTATATAATTATTTTTTATAAATATTACTCTGTTCGTTTCATAACAAAGTATCCATTTTTTCATTTTAGTCCGTCCCATAACAAAGTATTCATTTCATTTTTTTTAGTAACTGTACTATCTACCTAACATTACAAATACCCTTACAATTTACAATATATTACACAAATGTCATTACCTATCACACATACTAACAACGTTATTTTAGTCATTTCTATTTTATTCTTATTATATCCCAATGTAATACTAATATTTCTAAAACTACGTGCAAAAAGCAAATGAATACTTCTTTTTGGGACGGAGGGAGTATTATATTAGTATTATAAAACACTACTAAAATTATTTTTCTTGTGATTTATACAATATTTTGATATAATAATTAATATTCAAATATTAACACGCAGGAAGTAAATATGACTATTACGTGATAGTATTTTTTATACCTCCTTCGTCCCATAACAAAGTATCTATTTCATTTTTTAGTAACTGTACTATCTATCTAACATTACAAATACCCTTACAACTTACAATATATTATACAAATGTCATTACCTTTATATCACACGTACTAATAAGATTATTTTAGTCATTTTCATTTTATTACTACTATATCCTAATATAATACTAATACTTCTATAATTACGTGCAAAAAACAAATGAATATTTCGGAGAAATAAATATTAATGAAAAAATTATAGCACAAAAAATTATTGAATGAAAAACTCATTATTATATATATATATATATATACAGAGAAAGAGAAAAAAATACCTTCAATAATGGGGCAATGTAGGTGTTGAGGGGCAGGACGCCTCGCCAATCATACTTGTGATCTTTGGTATCCGTAAAATACTTGCTCACGAAGGGAGTCGTGTCCACAAAGAACAGTTCCGCAACATCTGCTTTTAGAGGATTTATTAATATCAAACAATGTATAATAATAAATAAAGGAAGATGAGCCGACCCACCAGCATCGACGACGAAGGACCTCAAGCAAAGCCAGCGGCTGTCAATCCGCCGGAGCGCCGGGCTCAGCTGCGCCAACACATCTCCTCTGTAATCATGGTTCCCCAGAACTGTACTTGCAATTTGCAAATGAATTCAACTCAATAAGATTTAAGAGGAATTGTTGATTTTCATGATAATATTAATATTAGATTACATACCGCTGAACCATGGCTTCTCCTGCAGGGCTCTGGCCGTGTAAATTTTGGAGTAAGACTGAAGGAAGGCAGCGTCGTCCTCGCTCTTGAGGCCGTCGTCGTAGAAATTGTCTCCGGTGGACACCACGAAGTCTATCTCCAGCTCTTCCCCAACTCTCCCCATCTGCTTTCAAAAGCCAAAAGCAAACAATTAATTAGTAATCTACCTTGTACCTTCCCTTCCATTCAGAATATGTAATGAATTGACCTGAGAAGCGACGCGAGATTGGTTGTAGTGGCCCTTCCTTCCCCAATCCCCAACCACCAGGAAAGCGATGCTGCCGTCGCCTTTCCTTGGGACGTATTCCAACCGAGGAAGAACCGCCAACACGCCCCTGCTCTTAAGAGACCACAGGAACAAGAAGACGGTGAGAACTGCAGCTGTGTTCCCCATGGCCATCGATGGATTGGACTGGATTGCCGCCCTCCCTACCTCTCACACTTCTCTTCTGCTCAACTTTATTAATATATGTCCTTACTTATAAATAAAACTTAGGGTGTGTTTCTTTAGGGGAGTTTCCGCAAAGTTGGGTTTGGGTTTGATTTTTATTTGAATTTTGGGATGAGTTTGAATTTTGTTGTTTCTTTTGTCTCTGGGTTTGGTTGGAGTTTGCAATGTGTATTAATTTGTTAGATAATAAATAAAATAATATAAATGTGTATTAAATTTAATTGATAAAATTTATATTGTATGATTTGATCATGAATTTATATTATAAGCAACATATATATATATTAAAATTTTTATTTATTTATATTATAGAAAATTTTATTCTCTACAAAAAGACATATATATTGTATATATATTTTTTTCATCTAATTATAATAAAATTACATAATATTTTAATTATTTAAAAAATAAATATATAAATAAAAATAAAGCTGCAATCCAACTTCTGTTGGCATAGACAATATAGATAGGGTGGATAGGGGTGGTTTGACGCCTATTTCATTGTGCACACAGTAATTACAGAGTAAAATGAGGCCAAACTTTCTTAAAGAAACACCCTGATTAATACTGACAAATAAAATTAATATATATATATATATAAATATGCACCTCAGACTCCAAATTCTAATTAAGTTGCTTTACACAAACAAATTTCTATTGCACAAGCCTACATACTTTTTCTCTCTCTCTCTCCGTGACGCAATTATTATTTTTTAAATGCATTCTGAATAGATTGATCAAATCTAATCTAAACGAATTATGTACAATAAACAAGATCCAAAAGTGACCGTCTAGTCACGAGTTCATCCCACAACATTAAGTCATCTATAACGGGACAACACAAACATTATCTCTTGATACAAGTTTTTATGATTTATTCTACTCTTTTTTTAAAGCATATAGGTGTTGAATTGATCAAGTCAAGACCGTGCTGATTTGACCAAATTAACATACTAACTTAAAAGAATTATCATTCTATCACAAGGCACATATGATATAATATGTTATATAAAAATACGTGTTGTATGAGGTACAAATTGTGCTATGCTATATAATATGCATATTGTACTAAAATATAATACATTGTACTACATTGAATTATATAATGTGCTTTCAAAATATATATTATATATTATATTGATATTTGCAATTGAGTGATATATTGTGTTGTGCTATATAATTCGCTTATTGTGTTTAAATCACAATATATTATGTTAAATAAAATTATATAATGTGTTATCAAAATGTATGATATACTGTATTAATATGTATTATTGGATATTTGCTATTTTCTTTATAAATCTGTGTTACTTATATCAAATCAACATGATAGTAACCAATGCCTATATATGCCTATGAGACTTATATATACCTATTCAATACTTCTTCTATATGCCAAAAGTATACACTTGTATAAGTATAGTTCAAACGATTGACCTCTCCTTCTACGTGGTTGAGGTTGGGGTTCAAACTCGTGAAAGAGTGTATGACTAGCTGTGTGTGTGCTATTATATTACTTTACTATTTTTTTCATCTCATCACAATCATCCACATTGTAAACACAAGATTTTAGAAGAAGTATAATTAGTGAATAATTAAAAAATATATTAGTAATACATATTAAAATTAAAATAATTTAATAGTTTAATTAAAATTAAAAAAATTATAAATTATAAAATTTAAAATATAATTAAAATATAATTATTTTTTAAAAAATAAAATAGAAAAATTATGTGGAACAGACGACAAAAAAAAAATATTTAATATGGAACAAAGAAAGTACTATATAACAATTAATACAAATCTTACATAAATAAATATCACCAATTATTATTTAAATATTAAAATTTTAAATCTCCGTTTTAAATATAAATGCTGCCTTAGTCCATATCAATATAATTATTTACTTTTAAAACATATATATATTTTTTAATAATAATAGTATTATATTTTTATATAATATAATAAAAAAAACGAAAAAATAAACTTATTCTTATTTGTTTTGAAATGTACTTAAATAAAAATAATGATATTTTTGTATTGTAGTTAAAATAAGGTAATGATATTTTTAGACTTCATTTGTCTCACTCTAAAATACTTTTTTAGAGTTTGACAGTAGATTAAAAAATAACAATATTTTATGGATAATTAATTTGTAATATTTTTATATAAGAATCTTGTATTTCATAATAGAACATTTTCATTTTATTGGTGATATAGTGGCTAAAGAACAAATAAAAATGGGGAACATTGTTTTGGAAGTTAATCTAGTGTAATGAGAACAAAAGTAGTATTTTCTTTTAAGTTTGAGTCACTTATATGAAGACTATATACATTGTGATGCATATGAGGTGTGTTTTTTTTTTTTTTTTTTTTTGGAGAATTTTGATAAATTAATACTATTCATACAAATTTTTTCCTAAAAAATATAAAATAAAATATTTATTTTTTATTTTTTATATTATACTAAAAATTAATTTTATATTCAAAACATCACATTAATACTTATTTATATTACATCATACCACTATTTCAATTCAAATTTTTAACTATTCAAATTCCAACTCAAAATCCAAACCCCCAGACAAACTCACCCATGTGATACTATTCATGTAAAGTTGTAGATTTTAATCATGTATTGCAACTTTTTAAAAATTTTCTTACTAAGTTTTTTCTTTTATTTGTGTAGTAAAATTTTATTTCTGACGATGATGACCACACAGAAGTTGAATTTTGGCCCATAATTAAGTTGAGGCAGAAGTTGAATTGAAGCTGAATGTAAGAACCAAGCCCATTTTTTTGGCCTAACGCGTTTAGCTCGATCCACTTGCAAGATTAATCCACAACCGTCTGATGGAGGGTTTTATTGTGAGCCTTTGATTCCGATCTAATATAGATATGTATATGCGTTGCCGCTAGTCTCTCATTATTATTAACTCTCTGTCTTCTCTCTCAAGCGGCCGGGTTGTTCCTTCTTTTAGTTCTTCTTTGCTAATCATCTTGGTAAGGTAAGTTTTTTCTTTCAATTCTTAGCTTTTGTATTTTGAAAAGTTTGAGATCCAGCGATCTTCTTTCCGGTGACAAGTGGACTAACCATGTCTTCTCCGTCGATTGTATTTTGAGTGTCCTTTGAGGAATTTTGTGAGTGGTGTGTTCTTCTCAACTGTAAATTGAACAATCTTGAGGTTTAGTCTTCGAAAGTGTTATAGATCGTTATTGTGAGAGGGTATGGGCTAGCAAGTTGTTTGGTCACATCTTTGGGGGTTGGTTCTTGTGATTTTGTGTTCGAATCATTTGTAGGTGGTGTAGAAGAGGTTGAGACTCTATACACTTTGTTAACTCAAAGTATTTTAACTTTAATGTTTTATTTTTATTTTGTTATGTGTGTTCTTGCTCGATTTCTATTGTTTTTGTCAATAAAATCAAGTTATTGATTCAAACAATTTTTACAAAATCTAGTTACTTTTATTTTATTATTTAGATACCGATCGAGTTGAATGAATTTTTATTGGATTAAAACTATGAACGACTACACTTTTAACATAATTTGAAGAAAATACTATTTTAGTTTGGTAATTAATATTGCTACTATAAAAAATTAAACAAAGAAATGTGAAATTCATGTATGTTGTCATATTCTTTTATTACATAAACACATCCTAAATTCAATATTTTGCATACAATGGCCGTAACATCACTTTTGAGAGAATAAATTTTCATATGTCCATTTTTGTTGTAGAAATGTTTCAATAAAAAAGTTCACTCATTTTGCAATCATTAGGTTTCAATGCATTATTACAGTTACAAGATGATTTTAAAATTATAAATTAAAATTTTCAATTACATAATTGGTCATACTTCACTAATTTATGTGGTTATTGTGTATGTTTCAATAATTCTATTTTTTTCTTTAGTATCCCAAAATGGAGTCTAATGGAGACGTCAACGGATCTCATAATGCTTCCACCACAGAAGAGTCGCGATCAAGTGCTAATTTGCCTTCACAAAACACATTTTGGACATCATGCCGCGCGTGTAACATACACTATGAGTACTTTCGAGTTTATTGTAATAGAGTTCTGGAGTGCCCTAATTGCAAACAACCATTCAGGGCTTTAGAAATCCAAGCTCCAAATGTAAGGTTTCCCTCTTCAAGTTATTTTCGACTCAATTAAATAAGGTCGAAATTTTTTGCATACATAAATAATAGAAAGGAGTTTCTTCTCTGTGACCTTGTAATTTCTTTTGGCTTGATTAAGTGCTTGACTGGAATAATAAATAACATGCAATTCTTTTCTTTACGCTACCTAAGCATTGGCCTAACAGCCGAGTCATTTGCATCGCACATGATTTCAAATGGTAAACTCCAATTTGGAAAAAAAGGACTATTTTAGAAAAAACTTAGAAAAAAAAACACCTATAGAACCGGGCATGTTGTAAAAAAACTCTGCAAAGCTCTAATATACTTTGGTGATGGCAGTTTCTCAATAACCGCAACCTTGGTTGGGTGTACCTATATGCCCTCTTTGGAAAATTTATGGCCTAACACAATCCTCTTCGTCACCATAAAACGAAATTTTTCCCAATTGAGGACAATGCTGAATTCTTCATACCGAAGTAGTACCTTGTCTAAATTGTCCTATACTTCTCAACTTCAGATCCAAAAATAGAAAAATCATCCATAAATACTTCAATACATGGCTCAATTAAGGTTTGGAAATATTAACATCATACAACACCGAAAAAATAGTCGGTGCATTGCAAAAACAAAAAAGCATATGCTTATATGTAAGCGTATTATATGGGCAAGTGAAGATGGTATTGTCTTAGTCCTTGGGTGGTATTATCTTAGTCTTCAGGTGGTAAAGGAGCCTGCTAGATGTTTCAATGCTTGGTCAATTAAATGAAGTAGAAAAATGGTGTTTTTTTGGTTTTTTCATTCAACCGCTGGTAGTTTATGCACACTCTGTAGCCCTTCACCAGCCGGCACAAGATCACCTTCCTCATTTTGAAACTGTCATCCCATCTTTTTTGGGAACTACCTGTGCAGAACTTATCCACTCACTATCAGAAATTAGATATATGATACATGCACGAGTAGTTTGATTAGTTTCGTGTTTACAACACTTTGCAACTGAGGATTTAATCTTCTTTGTAGTTTCCGAATGGGCTTGTAGTTGTATTCCATGTAAATATAATGAGTGCACAATGATGGAATCAGTCCTTTTTAGTCATAGATTGTCCAACCTATGGCCTTCACATGCTTTCTCAAAACATCCATTAGTGCACTTAATTCATGTGCATTTTAAAAAAGCATTCATAATTATAGGTAAAGTATTATTTTCACCAAGAAACTCATATTTAAGATATTTAGAAAGTGGTTTTAATTGAATATCAGGGATTTTTCAACCCACGGAATAAGCTTGCGTCTTATGTACAAGTTTAATGAATCTCAATTTGTCCTTACTTTTAAATTTGTGATTTTCCTTTGTATTAACTTCCGTAGCATCTTCTTGGGAAGCTTTTAAATGAAAGCAATAATCATATAAATCATAAAATTCTTGTGAGACTCAATCTTTTTCTAAACATCATACCATCCTTCGTGCATTTAAATTACGTTGGGCACATCAAAACAGACTTGCTCCTCATCGACCTTCAAAGTGATTTTTCCATCATCCATATCCACCATTGCACGCCTAGTTTTTATGAATGGTATTCCTAAAATAAGGGACATATCCATATTTTTTCTCATATCTAATACAAAAAAATCTACCAGAAAGATGAAATTTTCAACTTGGATAGAAACATCTCCAACAATTCTTAATGGTGTTCATATAGAGGGGTTGGCTAATTGGAGTTGTATTCAAGTTGGCTTCACCACTCCAATTCCCAATTCCCTGAAAATTGAATACGGAATTAAGTTTATACTTGAACCTAAGTGACATAAAGCATGACTAAATTTACGAGTGGCAATAACACAAGGAGTGGTGTAGCTTATTGGATTTATTTGTTTAATGGATAATTTTGTTTGTGAAACAATGCCTACAACCTCATGTTAGTGCCAACCGTTTGTCATCATCGATCGACCTTTTCTTTGAAAAGTCTTCGTAGAAAATTTGGCATATATAGGTATCTACGCAATAGCATCAAAAAAAATAGAAAAAAAATGAATGTGCAACTTCTTAAAAAATTCAGGAAATTTAGAAAAATCTTAATCTCTTGTCCTGTTTTGAGGCGACTCGGATATGGAACACGTGGTTGATATGCCTTGAATGCATATCATTTTTCTTTTATTCTTGATTTTACCTTCATTTTCTCCATGCCTTTTTCCTTGATTTTTTAATTCACACTTTATCATTGTCATCCTCCATTGACATTCCAACCTTTTCACCTTCACCAACATGTCGAGGGTGCGAGAAACAACGTCGGTGCACTCAATTAAGAACATCACACGAGGGCGTTTGCGACTTGGAGTGGAGGAGTATTTTCATGGGTTGACATTTTCGCCCCAGATTCTCGGTCATAGTCCGTCCTTTCTGTGCGAGCCCATTGACATGGATACGAAAAGATCGGGACTTGCAATTCCACATATTCCAATCGGACCAGCCTCGAGAGCTCGAGCGAAAGCGTGCATTGAAAAATTGCAAGGCCTAATAAAGAAATTAGAGAATTGGAGCCCAACCAACGGACTATGTTACAACATGCGAGGACTTGATGGAAAGCCTAGGGCGAGTGCCGTGGTTGTAAAGGTTATATTGGAGCTTGCAACGCCTCAACCGGAAAACTAACGGAAAAGTTGTGCAAACCTAGGAGTTTGCTAAAATAGAGGGTTTAATAAATAATTATATAAACCTAGGTTGCACATGCTCAAGTGGGGGGGGGGGCCATCTATTGGGACCACTTATACATATACATATATAATAAGCTCTCTCACATGCCTCTCACATGCAAGAGGGGACCATTAGCTAGGTGTCAATCAATGAGAGGTTACTTAGTTATACTAAACCTATCCCACATTGGAAAATCACTCCACTTGCCCCTTCCCCCACTCCTATAAATAGGACTCTTAAGGTGCTTTGTAAAACACACCAAGCAAATATATTTTTATGAATATTTGATCATTATTGATCATTTCCTTTATTATGGAAAGTTATGCTTGATAGCAATACTTTCTCTTTTAGTCTAATATTTCATGGAATGCAATTCCATTGCATGCTCCATGGGGTTTAGTTTAAAAATTCGGGTTTGAGTATAAAGCCTCAAGTTCGTGGCATTTGGGGAAGGTGGAAGAGCTCTCCAAAGTGTCGACCGAGGTGGTGCCTTCGTGGAGGATGGTTCGATGCTAGAAGGGTATCGGGTCGTGCTTACGTTAGTACTTACTTAGGTTTGCTTCTCTTTCGATTATCCTTTTTCTCGCTTTATTCGTTTCCGTTTAGTTAATTTGTTCTTTCTTGCTTAGTTAGTTATGTTTAGTTGTTCGTTCTTTGTCGTTGTTTATTAGTTAGTTCCGTTTTAGTTAGTTTATTCCGTGTCTTGTGTAGTTGATCAATTCGGTCCATAACATATATTTAATTTTGGTATCAGAGCAGTTTGATCAATTTACACTATCTTTATTCCGAAAATTCTGAAAAAAAAATTCCTTTGTTATCTTTTCTTTTTTTATTCATTCCTCTAGTTGCGTAGTCGAGCTGTTTATTGCATATTCTTGACGTAGATTTGATCTCGAGTTTTGTCATTGTTTGGCCTTCAAGTGTAGACGATTTGATCCTCTATGCTTCCTAGTGTACAACATGCACCTTACATCCATATGCATTATATGAACTCAAGCTTGTGACTTTGTTGACGAGTGATTTTAATTTACACTTCATGCTCTTGTTTGAGTTTTGCGAGTTTGTTCTTGTTCGAGTGTTGCAAGTTTGTTCTTGTTTGAGTTTTGCGATTTTGCTCTTGTTTGAGTTTTGCAAGTTTGCGGGTTGTTGAGTTCGTTGTTGTTTAAAATGAGGTTGAAATAATTTTGAGTTGGATGTTGTTGGGGAAGTGTAAGGAGTTATTGTTGATGTATTGTTTTGCCTAGGCCTCGTAATATTGCCGTGAAAAAAGTAAAAAAAAAAAAAAGTTGAAAAAAAAAATTGTTGCAAAGAAAAGAAAAAAAAAAAAAGAAAACCAAAATATTTGAAAAAAAAATGAAATACAAAAAACAAAATCGAACGGGAGGACTAGAGCAATATTTTTGTCGATAATCTTGTTTGAGTTGTAGTTTTCCCATACGAGTTCCGTTTTTCGCGTATGATATGTCATTGGAAAGCTTTGAAGTGGGGAGAAAGTTATATAAATTAGTTTTTATGAGGTTTTAATTGACATTTATTATTCAGTTTTGGGTTTTTGAGTTTGGATCGATTTTGTGCTTGTCATATTCGTTTGACACGTTTTAAAGGGAGTTGAGTATTGTGGTGATTTGGTGGTTGTTGAGATCATTCAGCTTGTGTTTGTTGTCGACTTGCTTAGTTCCGGCATTTGTGTGTTGTGTATGTTTGGTCATTTGTCCGTGAATGAATGAGCTTGGTTCTTTGCATTGCATGATTGACACTATCTTGAGCTTTCTTTGATTGAGTCGTGTTTAAAGTTTTTTGTCCACTTTAAACGCGTACGTCACTCAGGTTCCACCTTTACGACTCCATCAAGGCACACTTTAAGAGCTTGGAAACTCTATCCATTTGTCGAGAGGTATACACGAGTGTGCGAGTGGGGGGGAATTGTGAGAACTAACTTTCAATATACATATATTAGTTTGTTTTGGTGCAGGTATGGCTTCGTTGGATGATATCTTGGCTACGATAAATAAGCAAAGCAAAGATATGGGAGATATTAAAGACGAGTTAGGTGGAAAGATGGATAGCATGACATCTCATGTGGATCAGCAAGGTCGAGAGATACATGACCTACGGAGTCAAGTTGATCATGTTCGAGATGACATAGATGATGTTGTGGATGCTCGGATGAAGGCTTATGCGGAGGCCTTGTTAAGGAAGGTTGATCAAAACATGGAAAAGAAACTCGATGAGGTTTTCGATAAGGTTGCTACTCTTGAAGAAAGGGGAAGTCATAGTGATGCTAGACGTGAAGAAATCCACCTTGGCAAGCAACCTATGGGCTCAACAAGTGTTTTCCCAAATCGATCTATCCAAGTTGATGATTTTGGCGAAAGGCGTCATACTAGTCCAAGGCC